AAGAACTCAGTTGTTACTCACCAAAGTAGAATGTAGAATAATGTTTTTGTGTAGGATGTTACGCCAGTTGAGCTTGATGTCTCCTGTGATCTATTACAGCATTATTTTTTTTTCCTGAGTAATTTATTATACAAAAGCCATACCGAGTGTTTTATTTCTTTTCAGTACCTATTAGGAATATGCTGAGCTGCAAAAAGCCAAATTTAAGAGTGACTTAATTAAGTAAGGAGTCCCTGGGTGACACAAATGGTTGAATGCTTGACTGTTAACTGAAAAGTTGGCAGTTTGAACCCACCCAGAGGTCCATGAAAGAAAGCCCTGGTGATCTGTGTCCAAAGGTCTCAAGCCTTGAAAACTCTGTGATGTGCAGTTCTACTCTGCAAAAACTTGGGGTCACCATAAGTTGGAATCAACTCAGTGGCAACTGGTTTGATTTGGTTGTTGGCTAAGTAAGACATTTTCATACCACAAGAAATCTAGGGATAGACAGACATAGGCTAGCCATTTATATCAGCATCATCACCAAGGGTAAAATCCTCTTCCTATCTGCTTCAATATCCTCAGCATGAAGCTTTCATCTTCATGGTTGCAAGATGATTGCTGCCCTTCCAGGCATCATGCCAGTTCTAGGAAGAAGAGTATGTGCCAGTCAAATCTTTCTCCTTTATAGACAAATCATGGAAACCCCTCCTTCCTACTTCCATTTACATCTGTCTAGGCAGAACTGAGTCTCTCTCTACAACGGAATTTAGAAGTCTGGTGGTGTAGTGGATAAGGCATTTGACTGCTAACCAGAAGGTCAGCGATTCAAGCCCACAAGTTACCGTGTGAATGGAAGATAGGGCAATCTATTTCTGTAAAACTTTGGAAACCCAGTGGGAGTCACTTTGAGTTGGAATTGACTTTATGACAATGAGGTTTTTTTTTTTTTTTTTTGGCTTGTGGCTCTGTAATAAAGAAAGGGAAGGGGAGTGGGGACTGAAGTTTTTGGTGGCTAATACTCAGAGCCCTTCATAGCCCTTATCCTCTCTACACTGTCCTGGATGTCTGAATGGCATTTTCCCTAAGTTTTTTTTTTTTTTTTTTGCAGTTGCAAAAGCATCTTTTCACAGCTTTCTTGAAAATACCTAGCACAATCTCTCTGGGTGCTTGGATAATATATAAAATTCCACCATAACATGATAAATAGGGTCCAAAAGATCAAATTGCATAAAATGTGGGGTTATTGTGAAGTTAATACAAGGTCAAGTCCATGCTGGAAATTTTGAATCTAGGCCAGTTTTTCCCTATCTCAGCTACAATTTGGCGCCACCTGGTGGAAATTATCCCTTAGACTTAAATATCTATGTAGCTGGGTTTCTGGGACAAAGGCAGAAAGGAGACGTCAGCCTGCTCTAGGACAATTGGACCAGGAGTAGACTGAACTGAGCCACATCCACCCTCTTATCTCTGGTTTAGTGGGGGGGGGTGAGGGGGTTGTCTGTCATTTCTGTCCAGCCTTGCCCAATTCCCAAGGAAGGGAGCCAATCGCATTATTTCCTAATTCACATTATTGAGAATTTTACAATACATGCATATACACATACAATTGAGTGTATTTATTAAAGGAGTATATTAAATGAAAGGAGTTCTTGTGGTGCAGTGCCTAAGGTATTTGACTGCTAACAAGAAGGTTGGGGGTTCAAACCCACCAGCCACTCGGTAGAAGGAAAATGGGGCAATCTACTTCAGTAAAGATTTAGGGGCTTGGAAACCTGAAGGGGTTTGCTATGAGTTGGAATTGACTTGATGGCAATGAGTTTAGTTTTTCTGGTTATATTAAATAAGCTGAATTTGATAGGACCTGACAGAAAATTTTGTTACCCTAAAATCTTTTATGGTCTATTTCTTTCCCTGTCTTAGATGAAGACTTAAACCTGTTTCAGAGCTTTTAGGGTCCCTTGCAGATGATGAAGATTTGACTGGATCCTTTCTTCATAATTATAACTTCATTTCTGTCATTAAACTATGGAGTCCAATGTTGTTGCTGTTGTTAGGTGCCACCGAGTCTGCTCCGACTGATAGTGATCCTATGTACAACAGAACAACACAATGCTTGGTCCTGTGCCAGCCTCCCAATCCTTGCTATACCTGAGCCCATTGTTGCAGCCACTGTATCAATCCATCTCGTTGAGGGCCTTCTCCTTTTTTGTTGACCCTCCACTTTACCAAGCATGATACCCCTCTCCAAGGAATGGTCCTTCTGACAACATAACTAAAGCAGGTGAGACAAAGTCTGGCCATTCTCACTTCCAAGCAGCATTCTGGCTGCACTTCTTCCAGGAGAGATTTGTTAGTTCTTTTGGCAGTCCATGGTACTTTGCCAACACCACAACTCAAAAGCATCAACTCTTCTTTTGTCTTCCTTGTTCATTGTCTAGCTCCCACAGGCATAGGATTGAAAATACCATGGCTTGGGTCAGGTGCACCTTAGTCTTCAAACAGACATCTCTGCTCTTCAGTACTTTGAAGAGGTCTTTTGCAGCAGATTTTCCCACTGCAATATGTCATCTGATTTCTTGACTGCTGCTTTCATTGGTGTTGATTGTGGAACCAAGTAATATGAACTCCTTGATAACTTCAATCTTTTCTCCATTTATCATGATGCTACTTATTGGTCCAGTTGTGAGGATTTTCCTTTTCTTGATGTTGAGATATAATCCATACTGCAGACTGTAGTCTTTAATTTTCATCAGTAAGTGCCTCAAGTCATCTTCACTTTCAGCAAGCAAAGTCATGTCATCTGCATATCGCAGGTTGTTAATGAGTCTTCCTCCCATCCTGATGCTGCGTTATTGTTCATATAGCCAGCTTCTTGGATTATTTGCTCAGCATACAGATTGAATAAGTATTGTGAAAGGATACAACCCTGACACACTCCTCCCTTCCTGATTTTAAACCATGAAGATTTTAAACTTTGTTCTGTTGGAACAACAGCCTCCTGGTCCATGAACAGGTTCCTCGTGAGTACAATTAAGTGTTCTGGAATTCTGATTCTCTCTTCCTGCTCTGGTACCTTGGGTCTTTTTAGCCACAGATCTTCTTACCAGTGCTTATGCTTTCCAAATACAAGAGATCAAATACTCTTTGAATGGTTCCCTGCGAAGTTCTTTCTTCTATAAGAGAGGGAAAATGTCATAGCATTTCAATAGCACTGTGTAAAGAAATACCTTTTCTTGACTTGTACCTTAAATTCTTTCATAATTTTGAGGTGGGAATTGATTAAAGTCACAACCCTAGATTTCAGACATCCCTTTTGTAAATTCTAAATAATAGGCAGTCTTGAACCTCTCTTTGGAATGTGGAGTACTTGGCATCGATTCAGAATTGCCATATTGCATAATTCTCAGGGATAGCATTCACATAAAATATAATGAGAATAAATAATATATTGGAATGGTGTCACCTTGGAGTTGTCCAGTGTTGCAGGTCTGAATGTATTGTCCTCAACTTTTGGAGTTTTCAGTGAATTTTATTACATGTAGTAGTACTAACAGAGTTACTACTTAGGCAGACTTCCTATGCGCAATGTATTGTTCTATATACTTTACATATTTTATTTACTCCTCATAGAATCTTGAGATGGGTACAACGCTTATGCTTGTTTTACAAATTAGTAAACTGAAGCTCAGAAGCCCTGATGGTACAGTGATTAAAGTATTTGACTGCTAATTGAAAAGTCACCAGTTTGACCCTACCAGCTGCTGTGCAGGAGAAAGATGTGGCAGTCTGCTTCCATAAAGACTCACCATCTTGGAAACTCTGTGGTGCAGTTCCACTCTGTCCTGTGTGAGTCAGAAACAGCTTGATGGCAATGGGTTTGGTTTTGGTTTTGGAAAGTGAAACTTAGAGAAGATCAAGATTTTTTCAAGGTTACAGCTAATGAGTAGCAGAGCTAGAATTCAGACCCAGGTAACATGGTTCCCAGTTTTGCACTTTTCACTGTACATGATATACCTTTGCCTTTCTGAGCCCATCTTTCCTATTTGTGAAATGAAGGTTTCACTTTCCTTCTTAACATTCTGAAGCAGGTTACAAAGGATTTATGCAGACTTGGTTCAAATTGTCTTTAGATAAGTTACCTAACATCTCTGAATCTTAGTGTTCTCTTCTGTAAAGGAGATACAATATTTCCCAGAGTTGTTGGGAGGATTCATTGTTCACTTACTTTTCCTATCTCTATGCAAAGGGAAAGGAGTTAAAAAAAACTGCAAAGAAGTCAATGCTACTTCACTGAGGGGAGGGGAAGAAAGACACGAATATATTTAGTAAATGTCTTCTAGGTGATAAAGCAAAAATAAATAAATAAACTCACTGCCATCCAGTAGGATTCGACTCATAGCGACCCTTTCCTGGGTTTCCAAGAAGGTACCATTATGGAAGTAGATTGCCCAATGTTCCTTCTGAGGAGTGGCTGGCTGATGGGTTTGAACCAGCCTTCTGGTTAGCAGTCAAGTGTCTTATGAAGGGCACTGATTGATATTGCTTCTCTGGGCGATGAATTCATTCACACAACAGAAAGCCCTGCTTATATTTGTAAGGTTGAGTGAGGTAGCATAAAGAGCACAGTTGTAGTGTCAGATCAACTTGGACCCATTGTGTAACCCTAATCACCTAATTTCTGCTTCTTTATCTGTGTAAAAATGATAATGATGAAACATAGCGTGCTCTGCATAAATAGTAAAGGTACGTCTAATAATCACCAGTTCTGGCTACTTATGGGAGGCAAAGTCCTGTCTAATATGAGTCTGCGTTGTGCGTTGGGCGACAGCACTTGGGGAGAGAAGACGGGGGCGTAGGGTCTTTTCTATAGTCGGAACCGTTTTTCCCTGGCTGAGTCACTGCACGGACTTTGAAAGCCGAAGACCAAGGGCCGGAAGCGCGCGCAGCCACTGCCGAAGTGTGTCATTAGGAGGGGAGAGAGGGAGCGAGCAAGCAAAGCCGCGGAGAAGAGTACGAAGATGGCGGCCTTCTCTGGTGCGTTTATGGAAGCTGGGGGTGGTGTGGGAGGCTTCTTCCACGCCTCAGCCCTTAGGCAGCTCGTAGGGAACTTTTTAGGCGGGAGCCGACAGGTACAACGCTATACTTGAGGGTGCTGTCCGCTGCAGCCCCCTCGGTATCCGCGCTGCGGGACCAGTGGTGGCAGCCCAGAGGCCCTCTCGGCGTGGTTCAGTGTTGGGGGAGTGCATTTCCCTCCCGATGCTGGCGGTGACTATCATCCCTCTGCCTTTTCTCTTCTACTAGTCTCCACTTGGTTTTCCTGCCAGGAGACCCGCAGCTGCGAAAAGGGTGCGGCGGCGTTGCTCTAGCTGCTCTCGGTCGCCTAGGCCTCCTGCTTCTTGGACGTGGCAGTGGCCCTTGGGAACCTCTTTTCCGCTTGCGACAGTTACAGGCATTGTCAGGCTGAGAAGCTGTGGGCATAGGGAGGCATCAGTTGGGAAAATTTCGATCCTGCCTCTGTCCGTTGTTTTTCCAAATCCTCCAAAAAGAAAAGTTCCATATGTAAACTTGATCTTCCTTTTTGTTTATCGCTATTATACAAAACCAAAAACCAAACTCACTGCGGTCGAGTGGGATCTGACTCATAGCGACCCCTCTTGGGTTTCCGAGGCGATATCACTGGTAAAGTAGATTGCCCAGTCTTCCTTCCTAGGAGTGGCTGGTGGGTTTGTACCGCCAGCGTCTGGTTGGCAAATGCCTTAGGCACACCACCAAATAGCAACGTTAAATGTTGGGCTAAAGCTTTCTCATCTACGTACACACTAGCCTAGCGTAAGTTTGCCAAACTAATGATTATTTGCCATATCATACCATGCTTTATTCCAAACAAGATTTGAGGTGGCTTATCTAACACAACAGTTGTCGTTTTTCCCTCTTACATTATCATCCTCCCTTTATACTAAGCGATAATCAGCCTTAAATGTATTAAATTTATATAGCAATAGATGTATTAGGTTAAGCCTACTGTCTTTTAATGTTCTTAACCTATTAAGATGATTTCAGATATTAAAATATAGTATCATATATGCTTCAATTTCTCCTGTAAGAATATTAGGAATTCCAAATCTCTATAGTGATGCATGAGAGGAATTCTGACTGTTTCAGTTGCATCTCATCCTAGCAGTCAAAGGGATATCTACTCAGAGCGATTACTGTTTTTGTTTTCCCAGCCCTCTTCTAAAGCACGTTTATAAAGCCAAAGTCTATAGAGGAATTTTGGATTGTTATTTTATTGTTTCATGTCTTTTGGAATCCTAGATTTCAGGAATGTCAGGACAAAGAACTGGGAAAAGAGTCTGTGATATGAAATAAAGACAAAAGTAGAATTAAGTAAAGAATATGAGTATTCCTATTTTCCCCTTAAGTGTTAAAAAGTTTTATTCATAAAACATAGCTTAAAAAAAAAAAAAAGTAGAAAACATGACCAGGATAAGTCTGAAATTTGCTCAAAGTATTGTTGCATGTGATGTAACAGTTTTGCAAGCAGTTTCAGCTTGCAAAATTCTGTATTCAACATACTTGAGAGCATCACTCCTGTTTTCAAGTGTTTTAGGAGAGAGGATACAGGTAGACTCAAATGGCCACAATTCTTAGAAAGGTCTGCCTGGATGTACAACTGTAGATCTTGATTGGTTTTTCTATATGAATTTTCTGGAGAGATTTAAAAGTAGGAGATCCTTCTTTTTTCAAAATGATTTTTATACTTTCCTGTGTCACCAATGTTTATATTAACTAATTACTATACGAAAGTTTAGTGTTACATCTATTTTGTTAATTGGTAGGATGATTCTTCTCACTTGATACGAAGACAAAGTTACTTTGGAAGGGAATTTTAAGTAATCCATTTATGTACTTCATGTACTCTACGGTTCATTCGAACACTGAGGAGCCCTGATGTACAGTGGTTAAGCGGTCAGCTGCTTAGGTCAGTGGTTCTAACCCATCAGCTGCTCTGCAGGAGAAAGATGTGGCAGTCTGCACCTATAAAGATTTATAGCCTTGGAAACCCAGCAGGACAGTGCTACTCTGTCCTATTGGGTCTCTATGAGTCAAATCGACTTGACAGCCATGGGTTTGGTATTTGGATCATTCATTTGAGAAAAGATAAAAACTAGCCAGTAACAACTCAATTGACTCATTTAGGACTGGCCTTGAAGTAGAATTATTTAAACAGGTGGACAATTAAGAACAGACGATTTCTTCTGCTGACATTTCCAGTTTCTAAAGTTTTCACTATTGGCCCATCTTTTAGTTAACCAGAGTTTTGATTATGGCTGCCAATAAACGTGGGCTTTCCATATATGTCTGTTCATTTATCTCAGATTGCTGTGGGTATTCATATCATCCTTGAATGGCCAAGAAACATGATTATGTCTTTAAATGAAACAACCAAAATGCTGGTGTGGAATCTTCACTAACTGGCAGAATTTTTACTAGTTATAGGAGGTAAACACTCACTAGCACGGATTATGTATTAAGTGACAACTGTGTGCTGATGCATTACTTATTATCTCTAATCATCCTTTATACCTACCAACCCAAACTCACTGCCATGAAGTCAATTTTGACTCATAGTGACCCTCTTTGTGTTTCCAAGGTGGAAATCTTTATAGAAGTAGATTGCCCAGTCTTCCATCCACAGAGTGGCTAGTAGGTTTGAACCACCAACCTTCTGGTTAGCAGTCAAA